TTTTTTTTTTTTGTGATTTGACTGTCAGTCATTAGTATTGTAAACACTTTCGTTTTTTGAAAGTTTTTTTTTTGTATAAAGCTAAAAATAATTGAACGATGACGTTATTTAGAAATGTTGGAGCAAATAGGTTGGAGAAGAATAATTAACGTGGAAGATGCTTGAATAAATGTAACTATGTTTTCAGCGCTGAGGAGACAATTGAATTTTTGATTTAACAGTTGGTTTTGTTAAAAATGAAAAAGAATTTTAATTTATTTTGTTGAAAACAGATTTTATTGAATGAAAAGAAGAAAAATGTTATTGATAAGTTTTTTTCAAAAGTTTTTTTTTTTTTACTTTGGTATTTTTCCGATAAATACGACAATAGATGTGTCGGTAGCGGTAACGGCAATAAATAAGTGGTGTTTTTTTTAGTTTTAATGCAATTATACGGTTTGACGATGGATATGATAGAGCAAAAATTTATTTGTATAGCAGATTATTACCTGAAAAAAAGATGTCGTTCGATGGTGTTCGCTAGTCACCGAACTCTCTTCTGCTACTGGTTTTTCATTCACATTCCTTAAAATAATGTCGTATATAAGTAGTTAATACTTGAAAGACCGATATTTCGATGAGATTACAACAGCTGAACAGCAACTGCATTGAGTTGCTTTACCAAAAAATTGTGCTTTGATTTGCCAGATTTTTTAGACGACTACTTCTGAAGTGTATTAATTAGCATATGGCTCTAAAGGTTGCCTGCATAAATTTAAAACATTTTAGTGTTTTGAATTCTATCTTTGTTTAGTGTTTCTCTTAAAAACTTGTGCAGATTAATCAAAATTCTAAATACTTTAGCTATCTCTATAACTGATGCTTGTGATGACTTGGATAAACCGCTCGCTCAAATAGTATTGGTTGGATAGTTTTATTGCACACAATACTACCAATCTGGTCTCAAAAAGTTTTTGAGAAGTTGAATGATTCAGTTTTATAAGGGGTAATTAGAATATTCTAGATTAGCTTAAGCAACTAATTTGTTTACTATTTCTGGACTATTGCCTAATACTTATAATCTTTTAAGTAGCCTCTAATCTTAATTAAATTATCATTTTTTTCATAGCAATTTTGAAGCACTGAAATTATTATTATTGCGAAGTCAGAAAATGCTGAACTGTACTATCTGAAGGTGCAGTAAATTTTACTGGTGGTTACTTTTTATACAATACCTCCAATATTTTGATTTTTTATTGTTTTAAGAATTACTTTTATTTTATTTACTTAAGCAAAGAAATTCCTGCTAAAAGCTTTGAAAGAAGTTTTATTTTTGATTCATATACCAAATATTTGAAGATGCTAGAAATTAGTGGTAAATTTTGTAAATAAAATTTTTTGATCAGAAATATAACTACTGGTTCGGTAAGCTCTGAAAGTAATGTCAGCAAACAGTGGTGAACCTAAAAAATGACAAGCGTGTTATGATGTACTATCACTAGTTTTATGTGATCGCATAAAAAAGCATTAAAAAAGTGATCTTGATGAAAAATGTATCACTTAAAACTGGAAAGTTAAAAAGAAAAAAGATCAGTAGTCACCTGTTGGTGGTTTCGGCAGTGTTTAACTGCTTGAAGCCGCGTTTCATTAGGCTTTTTTCGCTGAAACATGATGGATCATCACCTTCAGCATCAATAAATTCAATTTTTTCTTCAGTTATGAACTCAGAATTAGTTGTTGACAATGCACGGACATACGAGTACAATCCACTGGAATCTAGCTCAACAGAAAAATGACGATGCTGCGACGTCGAAGCTTCTGAGCATGCTTTTCGTTGTGTTAGCTTCGGGATTTTTTGCATTGGTTTATTAATCTTTTTCGGAATATGTCGCTCTCCGCGTATGTGGTAACTGTCATCTTCGTCGCTCGAACTTTGGCGTACTTTCGGTTTACCATCCTTATCCACTGCAGTTTTTATTTCGTGTTCGCGTTTACAGCTACAGCAGACGGCAGCCTTCTTGGCTTTAGGACGACATTTACAACTCGTACATTTACAACAGACGCATGCAATGACGGCAATAGATGTTGCCGGTGAAATTAGCATTCTTTTTTTTTTTTTCAATCGAACTTGCTTCGATATTCAGTTATTCCGTCAGTGGTTTAAACAGTAACAGAAATATAGTAAAATTGTCTGAATATTGCAGACTTAATATAGCTGTTAAGGGCTAAACGAACAGTAGTAACACTGACAAAACAGATATGTAACGGTTGGACATCACATCAAAAATATGATCATCTGTTAGCGATAACTGAATAGGCAGGCGAGAAAAAAAGCACTAAATTTAGTACATTATAATCAAGAAAAAAAACAATAGGTTTTTTTTCCTTTTTTTTTATATTTTTTTTGTTTCGTTTATTCCGGAAAGCGATATTAAAAGCGAAGGATGAGCAACGAAATAAAGACAGTTTTATGAGTAAGAACGATATCCTGCAACAAGGTAGTGCAGAACATTTGGTGAAGGGTACTTGACCGGTTCTGTAACACACACAAAAATGAATATGAGTAAGGGGAAAGCCAAAATAAACATTTCTCTTCATATCCGCTGTTATCTTTAAACGTTGTCAAGGAGTAGGAAAAAAATAGATTCTATAGAAAACTGAGTTTCAAATGTAACCTGTCTGTTCGTTTCTATAAATATATGTATGTTTTTTTAATGTCAGTCAAATAAAGAAAAAGTACAATTATTATAACTTTTCAATTAATATGTAGAAAATTCCTTCTTATCTGTAAACCTTTTGGTTTCAGAGAAAAGGAAAAAAATTTTTTCCCTTGTTTTACAAGAGTTTTGTTTGTTCTACAAAAGCTAACTAAAACTTTACACAGAAGTTTGTTGTATTTACTGTAAATCAACAACAAAAGAGAAAAGCAAAGAGGAAAAAGATGAAATAAAAAACAGCTGAAAGACAGAAAAAATTTCACGTTTTGTTTTCTTTAACCAAACAATATTTATACAGATGTACGTATCTGAATGAAGCATAATTTCTTCCTTACTGTCAAGTGCCGTATCCTATGTAGCAGAAATCTATTAAATTGGCGTTAAAAATTTAACACTTAACAAATGTTTAAAAACATTTTGAACATTTTTCAAATCTTTTTCATCCTAGTCTACATTGACTATTTTTTTTCTGCTCTGTTACTTATTCAGAACTTAATTTCTGTAGCAAAAAGATGTTGGCAGGAGAGTTTAGAAGTGAAGAAAAAAAAATGTATAGAGGAAATAGAGTAGTGCTTTTTGTTAAAAAGTTAGTCAATTTGGAGCAGTACGTTTCGGACGGCGTTTTTTTGTCTGCTTATCGATTTTGAAATACAATAATAATGATTGTTGTTGTTCCTATTACTATTACTTTTACTCTTATTCTTACTATTATTATTACCAACTTTACTTCATTCCTCATCTTTTCATTATTACTGTTATTATATCCTTCATTTTAGCAGTGGTAATGTTAATATTTCAAATTTCTTTTTGTTGACGTCTTCTTCTTTGAATTTTCATTTTTGTACAGTGAAATTATCGTAAAATATTATTTTTGTTAACGGAGTGGTATAAAAGCGATACAGACGACCACTTCACCCCCACTCCAGACGAATTTTCCAAGTGGCTGCAGCTGCAGCTGCAACTGCCATTAGTATCGTTGTTGCCGTTGTTAAATGCTGCTGTTGCTGCTGTTGTACCCATCTGTAGAATAAGGACAGATCTTAGTCAGAGATTGTCTTAAGTTGTTACTGAAATTTAACCACTAGTCAGAAATACCTAGAACATTTTTTAAGCATCTTAAATGATTTTCCAAGAATGGTCCAAGTTTTAGCTTGATAGGTTGTAAAGCTAAGAGAGAAAAAAAAAACAACATTTCCTTTTGTATATACGTAAACCTCCCAGAAGGTTATTTGCAAAAAAATTAGAAAATAAAAACACCATTGACAACTGCAGCAGTAACTAATTTAAATTTTTTTATAAACTCAAAAAGTGGATGATTGTTGAGAGTTAAAACAAAAACAGAAAAAGATATTAGGTATTTGTTTGTAAAGTATAAAGCACTGGATTTCTTTTCTGCTAATAACAAGACATAATTTTGTTTTATTTTTTCCACCTTATTCATTGATACAATACCTATTTTGACGGTAAACAAAGAAAAATTGTCTTAATTAGTGGTTGTCAAAAATAGTACAAAAATTGGTATTTGGAGAATGCAGCGAGGAAATAGATGTAAACAAAAACCTAATAAAATTTGTATACATAAAATTTGTACACATTATTCTTATTAAGTTTTCATGTTTTTGCCTTTGTTGAGTAAAATTCTGTTGTAAAAACAACTAGAATTTTTATTAGCAATATTTTTTTGGCATTAATAGTGAACAACGGCAACTTTAGCCTAGTTTAAACTAAACAGATTTTAAGCAGAATAAAGTGGCGATGAACAGCGAAGAAGGAATACTGAAGGAATGAGTTTTTCAGGCAGGTGAAGAGGAAGGGAGGCGTATGGTGGTGAATGGAAGACAATTGACGAACAGTTTAAAGTGTCATCGATTTGATTTCTGTCAAAACAATTTATTTTCAATTTGCTATTTTCTTAATTTTTTTTTTTCGATTTTCTTCAGCTAAGATTCTGAATATACATACTTTTTTTTTTGCCTCTTCAAACTTGAAAGCTAATAAATAAGCATATTTATTTTTGCTATTGTTATTTTCGTAGTTTAATTTAATTTTTTTAGTAATTACATCTGTACGAAGTATTCAAGATTTTCTTCAAAAAATTTTTGAATTAAAATAATTTTTTACTTTTTTTTCTATTTTATAATTTTATCGATAAATTTTAAATTTCGAAAAAACAGTGACGTAATTTTAATCAAGAAGAAGAAGAAGAAAAAAAAAGAACCTAAGCAAGCATATAACTGAAAATCATATTGATAATTTCTGATGTACCTAAACAATAAATTTTTTTTTTTGCTTTATTACTGTTCAACCTTTGTTTTTTTTCAGTTTCTTTTTACAATTTATCAGCAACCAATATGACTAATATATGAAATATGTAGTCAAAATTGTTTTTCAAATTAATTT